CCCCAAAACCCCAAAACCCCAAAACCCCACTACATCCTACATATAGAAACATCATCCCAAACCCCCTTGCTCTCCAATTTCCCACAAAATCCTCCCCTATAATCCTTCCTGCCTCTCCAATCCCCCAAACCCTCCTCACACCTCCCCAATCCTTAAGCCCCTCAAGACCTAAAGAACCCCTAAAATCCAGGCTCCTACCCTAATAGTAGCTTAAGAAGGATACCACCGGGTGTAGAACAACTGTAAGGTAGAGTGAACCTGACTGGAATTTCAAGGGATTTTGGAGTAGGACTGAGAGAGATGGGAGGGACGGATGGGGATTTGGAGGGTGGTTGGGTGGGAATGGGGGGAATGGGGGGCGGGAGGTGGGTGAGAGGGAAGATGGGGGATTTTAAGGGGAGAGATGTAGTGAGAGCTGTGGGTTAATAATAAGTTAAGAAAGAGCGTGACTGTTCTGTTTGTTCTTCTAATTAAAATATTATACATCACGAGATATTGTTTCTTTTTCTTCATCTCCAAATAAGCTATAGGACAAGAAGCTCGAGTGTTTGATACTTCCTTTCTCTTCTTCATCAATAAAATCTGAAGTTGGCTTTGTCTTGAGCAATTGCTTCTGAAGTAAGGCTGTTTCATCAGCATTATCTCGCTTTACTAGAGCTAAATAAATCCTTAAAAAATTCTGAAAAATTTAGACCTAAAATTTAAGGACTTACAACCATCACTTTCAGTTTTAGTCTGAATTTTATTTTCTTTCTTCGCAAGGATTATTTGCATTTCTTTAAAGGATTTCCAAAGAACGATCATGATTGAGATTGAAGGGAATAGTTCAGTGAAGTAGCATGTAAGCCATACATAATCATTAACATTTATAAGGGTATATGAAGGATCTTTATGATCTAGACCCATCATTTGAACATAAAAGTCAAGAGCTAGCCCTGATCATCTTACCAAGAGCCAGAAGGCAATTAATGAGGTGTAGATTCTAATCGGAGTGGCTTTTTGCTTATACAAGAACCTTTCATTATTTTTAAGAATGCATAGGAAATAATTAGCAACAAAAAGTAGTAGTAAAGGTCAAATTAAGTTAAGTGCTATCATAAAGCCTGGCAGGATATTAAGCTTACTTTTAATAGTGAATGGATAAACCACGTATATAATGAAGCATAGGCTAATAACAGATATATAAGCAACTTTCACAAGACATTGCTGAGTTTTGATTCTTTTCTCCCTGATACTAATCTGGGCTGTTGTCATAATTCAGAAGCTAGTCCATCTGCATGAATAAGTAAAGATAGAGAAAGTATGAAGAACTATAGGTCCATAAATTAGCCAGTTTCGTCCTAAGGGTACAACTTTATCACTTTGACTGTTATACTCCCAATTCTTTTCAGGTCCGAAAAACACATAAATCATGGCTGAGATCCTGACTAAATAGGCTATTACCAAGAATAGAATGATTGCTCTAAAAGTAGAACTCTCTGATCTTGATCTTCCAGTAGTTTCGTGCCAGGATTCCAATAGCTATCAGACAGAAAGCATTCAGGATTATTACCACAACCGCTAGAGGAATCAAACTTGAGTTCATAACCATTTTATCAATTTATAATGGACTTTCGGGGTTTTGGGGTTTTGGGGTTTTGGGGTTTTGGGG